TGAGCCTCCTCCTGCCCTTCCTCAACTAAGCCTTCAAGCATAATCTTCTATTCCTTTCTCCCGCATGTACCTATCCAGCTTCCCCTTAAATACACCTATTCTATTTGCCTCAACAATAGTACAGAGCCCAGGAGCGTGAGCAGGCAACGGAGTGAGGAGGAACAGAGTGAGAATTCTGTTTGGGAATTAGGTGAGAGTGGGAATTCAATGTAGAGGGGGAATTCAGTGCAGGTGAGAACTTGTAAAGGAGAAACAAACCCCCCAAGAGGCTGCACAAAATGGTCAACAGTCCTGTGGCGGTAGGTGTTGAGTAGGCATTTAGTATATAAGGAGTGTGAGCAAGGGAATAAAAGATGTAAAATTACTTGTTTTTACCTATTTACCCCCAAACTGTTGAGACAAAACATGTCTGTAAACCTGGCAGGGCAGCTGAGACCCATTCCATGCACACTGTGTACCATGTGGGAACTTCAGGATGGTTCATGTGTTCTGGAAAAACTTGTGCGTAGGTAGTGCCTCTGGCTGCTTGAGCTCAGGGTCGCTGAGCGTGAAGAGAGGTTACAGTCACTACATAGAATACAGGAGACTGAAGAATTTGTGGATCGAATTTTTCAGGAGATGGTCACCCCACAACCACAGAGAGTTCAGGAGGTGGTCATTCTACAGCTATAGAGAATTCAGGAGGTGGTCACCCCAGCTAGACAGAGGGCTCAGAAGAAGGGTGCAGCAAAAAAAGAACAGGCAGTACAGAAATCCCCTAAGAGTGTGGCCCTCACAAACTGGCTCTCGGTACTGGATACCGGTGAGGACGAGAAGAGTCAAAAGGTAATGGATGTTCAGGGGGACAAGGGGAAAAATGCCAATTCTGTTGTTATTGGGGATACAACAGCTAAAGGGATAGACAGGCGTTTCTGCCAATAAAAGACGGGACTTGCAACTGGTATGCTCCCTCCCTGGGGCCAGGGTGCAGGACTTCACATAATGGGTGCAGAATATACTACAGGGGGAAGGGGAAAATCCGGAAGTGGTGGTCCATGTCGAGATCCATGATGTAGGTGATAAAAGGGCTGAGACCCTACAGGGAGAATATCAGAAGCTTGGGAAGAAGCTAAAGAGCAGGACCTCAATGGTGGTGATCTCGGGATTACTCCCATTGCCTTATGCAAGTGAACAGCAAACCGAGAGCATCAAACACATGAATGTCTGGCTGGAGAAATGGTGCAGGAAGGAGGGCTTCAGGTTTCTAAACCACTGGGACCACTTCTGGGACAGATGGGACCTACACACGAGGAATGGGTTACACCTGAGCAGGGCTGGGGCCAATGTCATTGCAACAAGAATAACAAATGCTGTGGGGAAGCGTTTAAACTGATTTCGAGGGGGGATGGGAATCAGAATGTAGCATCAGGGAAGGGAATCGAGTTACATAGTGGACGAGGAGAGACAAATAGAAATGAAACAAGGAGTAGTCCAGCAAAACGTGGAAAGAAACAGGGGAGAAATGTAGAGCGGATTAAGCCAGTCTTAGAGTGCATGTGTGTAAATGCACAGATTGTGACCAATAAGCTTAGTGAGCTGCGGCTCAGGGTGCCACATAGGGCTATGATGTAGTGGCAATTACGGAGACTTGGCTCAAGCAAGGACAGGAATGGGAGCTGAATATTCCTGGCTACAACCTGTTCAGGAAGGATTGGGAAGGGAAAAATGAGGAGGGGTGGCAATACTCATTAGGGTCACAGTCCTGGAAAAGGATGATGTGTTAGAGGGACCAAAAACTGAATCTATTTGGTTAGAGTTACAGAGCAGAAAAGGAGCTGTTACTCTGTTAGGTATTTGCTATAGACCTCCAGATAGTGGGAAGGAGATAGATGAGCAAATCTGTAAACAGATTTTGGAGAGATGCAAAACCAATAGAATAGTGATAATGGGGGACTTCAATTATCCTCACACAGACTGGGAAACACACAGTGCAAGGAAGGGGAAGAAATCCTGAAATGTGTGCAGGAGAACTTTCTGGGTCCAGCATGTTTCCAGCCCAAAGAAGGAAGAAGTGCTAGATTTAGTTCTGGGAAATGAAGTGGGGCAAGTGGAGCAGGTTTCAGTAGGAGAGCATCTGAATAACAATATCATCAGGTTTAGAATAGATATGAAAAAGGACAACAATCAATCAAAGGTAAAGACCCTCAACTGGAAGAGGGCTAATTTCAGTGAGTTAAAAAGGGACCTGGCCAACATAGATTGGAAAGAAAGATTGGCAGGTAAGACAGCAAACGAACAATAGGAAGCCTTCAAGGAGGAGATAGTTCGGGGACAGAGCAAATACATTCCCACAAAGGGGAAAGGTAGCACAGTCAAACCTCCCTGGATGGCTAAGGAATTTAGGATTAAAATAAAACAGAAAAAGGAGGCTCAGACAAATGTCAGGTTCAAAACACACAGGATAATCAAATAGAATATAGGAAGTACAGAGGAGAAGTGAAAAGGGAAATAAGAAGGGCGAAGAGATTGTACGAGAAAAGATTAGCAGGAAACATAAAAGGGAACCCTAAGGTATTTTATAAGCAGATCAAGAGTAAAAGGTTAGTTAAGGGTAGGGTGGGTCCAATTTGGGACCCAAGTGAAAATCTTCTTGTTGAGGCGGAGGACATGGCGGATGTACTAAATAAGTGCTTTGCAACTAAATAGTCTTCACTAAAGAAGACGATGCAACCAATACCACAATATCAGGCGCGTGAACAGAAATTGGATATGATAAAAATCAACAGAGAGGAGGTACTAAAAAGGCTGTTGGTGCTCAACATAGGTAAGTCACCTGGTCCGGACGGGATGCATCCTAGGTTACTGAGGGAAGCAAGGGTGGAAATAGCGGAGGCTCTGGCCACAATCGTTCATTCATCTTTGGACACCGTGGTGGTGCCAGAGCACTGGAGGGTTGCAAATGTGATTCCCTGTACAAAAAGGGGCAGAAGGATAAACTCGGGAACGACAGGCCAGTCAGTCAAACGTCAGTAATAGGGAAACTTCTGGAGACGATAATCCGAGACAATATAAGTTCTCATTTAGAAAAATATGGTTTAATAAAGGACAATCAACACAGATTTGTTAAAGGCAGATCATGTCTGACAAACCTAATAGAATTTTTTGATGAAGTGACTGAGAGGGTGGGTGAAGGTAGTGCAGTAGATGTAGTTTATTTAGATTTTCAAAAGGCATTTGACAAAGTGCCACATAAGAGACATAAACAAAATAGAGGCCCACGGTATTAAAGGGACTGTGGCAACATGGATCCAGAACTTGCTGGGAAACAGAAAGCAGAGAGTGGTAGTAAACGGTTGCTTTTCTGACTGGAGGGAGGTGTGTAGTGGTGTCCCTCAGGGGTCGGTATTGGGACCACTGCTCTTTCTGATCTATATAAATGATCTGGAATAAAGGGGGCGAAATTTCCAAATTTGCAGACGATACTAAGCTACATAAGCACATAAGCAAATCTCTGAAGGTGGCGGGAAAAGCATCTGGGATACTAGGGTTTATAAATAGGGGCATAGAATACAAAAGTCAGGAGGTTATGTTGAATATTTTTAAATGCTGTTGGGCCTCATTTGGAGACTGTTCAGTTCTGGGCTCCGCATTTTAGGAAAGGTGTTAGGGAATTGGAGAGGGTGCAAAGGAGGTTTACCAGGATGGTACCAGGGATGAAGGACCTTAGTTATGAGGAGAGGTTAGCAAAACTAGGATTATTCTCCCTGGAGCAGAGAAGATTAAGAGGGGATTTAATAGAGGTTTTCAAGATCATGAGAGGATTTGATAGGTTGAACCGGGAAACACTGTTTCCACTGCATGTGGGTCAGTAACCCGAGGACACCGATTTAAGATAGTTGTTAAAGGAAACAGAGGGGAGGTGAGGAAAAACATTTTTCACAGTGAGTTGTTGGGATCTGGAATGCATTACCTGAAAGGGTGGTGGAAGCCGATTCAATAACAACTTTTAAGAAAGAAGTAGATGGGTATTTGGGGAGGACAGTATTGCAGGGCTATGGAGAGAAAGCGGGCCGGTGGGATTGAGTTGGAAGCTCTTTTAGGAGCCAACACAGACACGAGGGCCGAATGGCCTCTTTTTGTGCCATATGATTCTTTGATTCTATGATTCTAACTCCTTGTGGCAGCATTTCCACATTCCCACTACTCTCTGTGTGAAGAAATTTCTCCTAACTTCCATATTTGATCTATTTGTGACTATTTTATATTGATGGCCCTGGTTTTGGTCTCCCCCACAAGCGGAAACATCTTCCCTATGTCGACCCTATCAAACCTTTCATCATTTTAAAGACCTCTATCAGGTCACCCCTTACCCTCCTCCTCTCAAGAGAAAAGAGTCCAAGTATGTTCAGCCTTTCCTGATAGCTATAACCTCTCAGTTCTGGGATCATCCTTGTGAATCTCCTTTGCACCTTCTCCAGTGGCTCTACATCCCTTCTATAATGTGGGGACTAGAACTGCACACAGTATCTAAGCGTGATCTAACCAAGGTTCTATAGAACTATACCATAACTTCCCTGCTTTTTATTTCTTTCCCTCTGGAAATGAACCCCAATGCCTGGTTTGCTTTTTTCTGGCCTATTAACCTGAGTTCCTACTTTAAGTGAATTGTGTACGTGTACCCCGAGATCCTTTTACTCCTCTATCCCATTTAGGTTTTTATTTTCCAGGATGTATGTGACATTATTTCTATGTGTTATTATTTATTATTATTACCCCTTAACCTTACAACCTTAAACCAGACCTACCCCTAGCACAACCTGAAATTAAATTATTAAATTACTTCTGCCATCTTATGTTCTTATAGAAAATAATATCTGGGGATACAGTACATAGTTTGGGATATGACACGTCAAGCGACAGCTTGGAAGGTGGAAGGTGAACGAGAAACGAGATGGACCTTGTTCTTCTTTCATCAGCAATTTCTTATATTTTTAAGTTTAGGTACAGAGACGATTTCCTACCTCATCGTGATTGAGGGATTTCAACTTCACTCGTGTTTGGTCCAAACACAGGACGTCCCCATATCGATTCTTCTGCTGGTTGTATGGTTGCCTAATTGGGGGGAAAAAATGAGTCTCAAATCATTCCATCTTCCGCCCACTCCCTCACCTGTTACACAATCTATTCCCACACCACTCCTAACAGTAGCCTGAGCCAGCACCCTGACAGCTCACTGGGGCAGGCTGGGGCTAGCAGGCTTCACTGGAAGCAGCCTGACTGCGTATCAGACATTCTCTCCAGTCAGGAAGGTAGGAGTAAGGCAAAGGCTGACACCACTGTGCTGTGCCTCCCCACATACACTACCAAAGGTGATGGTACACACACTACAGCACCCTTTGTCAAATATAGCAAATTAATTTTTAAAAAAGAATGTGGTCACTCAACAACAACAACAACAAGATTCCATTTATAGAGTGCCTTTCACGTCGGGAGGATGTCCCAAGGCGCTGTACAGTTAGGTCAGGACCCGAGCAGGGGGGAAAATCCATGACTGTTTGTGGGACGCTGCTGTGCGCAATTGGCTGCTGCGTTTCACCCACAAAATACACAGTCAATTCACTTTACAGTATATTCTGTGAAGCGCTTTGAGACGTCTCGAAGACGTGATAAAGCGCTATATCAAATGCAAGGATTATTATACTATTATTTATAGAGAAACTACTGATCAGTACCACATCATAGCCAAATAGGCATTTCAGCACACAAGTCCTCAATCAGAAGACAATAAAATACACTTCAAGATTAATAGGTACGTTCAGTTTCAACTGAGAATTTATCAGACAGAGGTGGGATCATGGTATAATAGTATAATAGTGTAGAACACATTTTGTTCACTGATAAGAGGGAAAGGCATTGTTCTGCAGTTTGAAGTTAGAGATCTAACAGTGACCCAACAGAGATCTAAGAGTGACCCAACAGAGATCTAACAGTGACCCAACAGAGATCTAAGAGTGACCCAACAGTGATCTAAGAGTGACCCAACAGAGATCTAAAAGTAACCTAACAGAGCTCTAACAGCGACCTAACAATGGACTAACAGTTAACTAACAATGAGCAGTTGAATGTGCCAGGAGGGGTTTCACGACGAATGTCTTCATATTCTTCATAGATGCCCCGTTTCTGCACCGTGTTGACGTGGTCTAAGAGTTCCTCCACTGTCATCCCCTCCAGCCCTGGGACGTGCACAGACTCTTCCTCCCTTGAGAAGCCTGTGATGAGCTTGTCCAGTGACTCAGGCTGCCCGTTCGGCAAGGCCAGGAACTGGCGGTTCCAGCTGGAATGATCGAGTCGGACAGCACCCCCTAGGTGCTCCGGCAGGCAGTCCCCAGGCAGGTGCTGCTTCAGCTCATGGGTCTTCACCATCTGTACCTGCAACAGGAAGCACAACCGTCAACAGGCTCACTCTACAGTCAGGTGTTTCAAGGTGATAATAATCATAATAATAATCCTTGCATTTGATACAGTGTGTGTGCCCTAACACAATGTTAAGACGGCTCAAAGCGCTTCACATAATATACTGTGAAATGAATTGACTGTATTTTGTGGGCGAAACACGGCAGCCAATTGTGCACAGCAGTGTCCCACAAACAGTTGTGGATTGATCAAATTTTTTTTGAGGGATTATTACACCCGAAAGCAATCCGCCAATCGACTAACAACCGGGTTCCAACTTAATATGTGTGTGTGTGAGTATGCGTGTGTGAGTGAGTAAGTGTGTATGTAGTATGAGTGTACGCGAGAGAGTGTGTGAGAGTGTCTGAGTGGAGTAAGGAAACTTGCCTTGAAAGTTTTGTCCCGTCCAGGAATTGAACCCGGATGCTCTCTCTTGCGAGGCAAACACGCTAACCACTACGCTACAGGACTACACAGTTAATAAGCAAATAAGGGATGAGGGGGCTTCCTGTAAGCTGAAGCTCACTGCGACCTGGAGTGGGAACACTGACCGGTGCCCATGTTCCAAGTGTCAATGAGAATTCCAATGCGAATATCTTCATTGAGAAATACTGCAAATTCGATTCCAACATCATGGCAAAACATGCAAAGGATTTCACTGCTTTGCTAAAGGGGAGTGAAATCAAAGAGGAGAACAAGTGGGTTTACTTCAGGAGAGTGGAAAAGGCACCGTCAGCATTTAGTTATTTTCCAACATGTTAGCGAAGGATGTGGAGGCAGGATGTAATTGCTGTTGAGATATATTTAGCACAAAAACTAAGATGAGGAGAAATTTAGTTATGTGGAGACACTAGACTAGACAGGCTGGGATTGATCTCTTTACAGTAGAGAAGATTAAGGGGAGATTTAATAGAGGTGTTCAAAATTATGAGGCATTTTGATAGAGTGGATCGGGAGAAAATGTTTCCACTGGCGGGTGGGTCAGTAACCAGGGCTCTTAGATTTAGATAAGATAATTGGCAAAAGATTTAAGTTTCGAACTTATCTTAGATTTAAGATAATTGGCAAAAGAATCAGAGGGGAGATGAGGAGATATTGTTTTACTCAGAGAGTTGTTAGGGTCTGGAATGTGTTGCCTGAAAGGGTGGAAACAGATCCAATACCAACTTTCAAAGGGGAATTGGATAGGAACTTGAAGAGGAAAAATTTGCAAGGATTTGGGGAAAGAGTGGGTGAGTGAGGCTAGTTGGTAGCTCTTCCAAAAACCTGGCACAGGTACGATGGGTCAAATGGCCATCTGTGCTGTAATATTCTATGATTGTATAAACTGATACCAAATGGAGGTTAGAGAGGAATATGGGAACAGCTGCTCACACCAGGAAGGTGGAAACGATGATATACAACTGGCCTAGAAGCAGGTCTCCCCCACCTGCAACCATGGTTGAGGCAGAATCTAATTTTCACCCACAAAGTATATAGTCACTACACTTTACAGTATATTCCGTGAAGCGCTTTGAGATGCCTTGAAGACATGATAAGGCGCTATATCAAATGTAAGGATTATTATTATTACTTACATTTAAAAGGAAATTAGATAAATATTTGAAATGACAAGAAGAAAAAATTCCGGGTATGTGTGGGGGTGGGGGCAGCAGGAGGATGAGAATAAACAGAGCTCTTTCAGAGCCAGCAGAGAAACCATCTTGTGCTGCAAATGTCTACAGTTCTATCATCTAAAGAAGAGAAGCTACACAAGGGATTGATTGGTAGTTTTGTGAGAAGGGAAACGGATCCCATCGCTGTTCAGTATCTACCCCAACAATCAAACCTGGGTTTGGTTCCCGGGCAAATTTCCTTATTCCACACGCCTCTGTTTATCTATCAGTAAATAAGAACCCGCTTGTTAGTCCATTGGGTTTTCCAGGGGAAACTGAAAACAGGTTGGGGTAACCAAACCTGCGCTCCCCCACTCAACAAGCTCCAGCCTATTCCATGTCCCCCACCTGGCCCGTTCCACCATCAGTGGTCGGGTCTATCAGCCAGTCCGCCTCACCCTCTGGAACTCCATCGCACGCTTCACCCTCTCCCTTGCAATCTTCAAGACACATCTCAAGACCCTCCTCTTTAACCATGCCTTCCCTCACCCCCCTACACCTACCCCCAACAACAACAACATCTTGGATTTATATAGTGCCCTCCACGCCAGACGGCGTCTCAGAGCTTCACAGTAACGGATCCTGGGACCGAGCCGGGGGGAGGGGGGGAGCCAGGGGGAGGGGGGGAGCCAGGGGGAGGGGGGGAGCCAGGGGGGAGCCAGGGGGAGGGGGGGAGCCAGGGGGGAGGGGGTGGAAGGTGACCAAAGGCGCGGTTGAAAAGGTCTTCAGCAGAGACCTGAAAATGGGAAGAGAGGGAGCGAGACAAAGGGAGTGAGGAAGGGAGTTCCAGAGCTTCGGGGCACAGTGGCTGAAGGTATGGCCGCCGAGGGTGGAGCGGAGGACTCGGGGGATGAGGAGGATGCCAGACCCGGAGGGACAAAGGCAACGGGTACTGTTTTGAGGAGAGAGGTCAGAGAGGTCGGGGGAGGTGCTGAGGAGTTGAATCCGAGGGTAAGGATCTTGAAGTCGATCCTAACATAACATAACATGTAGGAGCAGGAGGAGGCCATTCGGCCCTTCGAGCCTCTGCCCCGCCATTCAATCTTGGCTGATCGTTTAATCTAACTCCAGCTAATAACCTGACGTTGCCTTATCCCCATATCCCTTAATCTCTTTTTCAATAAGAAATCTATCTATAATAATAATCCTTGCATTTGATATAGCGCTTTTCATGTCGGGAGGACGTCCCAAAGCGCTTCACAGAACACACTGTAAAGTGAATTGACTGTATATTTGTGGGCGAACGCGGCAGCCAATTGCGCACAGCAATGTCCCACAAACAGTCGTAGATTGAAAATGACCAATTTATTATTGTTTTTGGTTTTGGAGGGATTATTATTAGGCTCTGTGTGGAGTAAGGACATACTTGCGCTCGAAGGGGTGCAGCGTAGATTCACTCGGTTAGTTCCTGGGATGAGGGGACTGACCTATGAAGAGAGGCTGAATAAACCAGGGCTGTATTCTCCAGAGTACAGAAGAATTAGGGGAGATCTTATTGAAACATATAAGATTCTTAAAGGGCTGATAAAGTAGTCACTGAGGGTCTGTTTCCCCGGGAGGAGAATCTATAACCAGGGGTCACAGTCTTAAAATTAAGGGTCAGCCTTTTAGAACAGAGTTGAGGAAACATTTCTTCACTCAGAGGGCAGTGAGTTTATGGAACTCACTCCCCCAGAAGGCTGTAGATGTCAGTCCTTGAACATCTTCAAGGCTGAGACTGATAGATTCTTGAAAAATAGAGGGATTAGGGGATATGGGGATAGGGCAGGTAATCAGAGTTAGGTCAGAAGATCAGCCGTGATCTTATTGAATGGCGGAGCACAGGCACGAAGGGCCGAATGGACTACTCCTAATTCTTATGTTCTTATATTGTCTTGACCTCCTGGTCATCAGATTTCAGATCCTTCCTCTCCACTGCTTTTATTTCATCTCTAAATAACAGGGCTCCCCCCCACCACCTCGTTTCCCACAGTGCCCATCTTTCCTGTAAACTGAGAACCCTGGAATATTTAACTCCTACCCTCGATCTCCTTGATTGTTTCAGTGATGGCTATTAGATCGTACCCATATGTGTCTATCTGTGCTTTTAGTTCATCAGTTTTATTCTGAATGCTTCGCGCATTCAGATATAACATTTTTAATGTTAAAAATTTCCTCTACTCTCTGATTCCTTATCTGTTTGCCAAAGCTTCTTACCCCTCGTTAACATGTTCCTATTATCTGGCTGCTATTCTGCACTGTCATCTTTACTTTTTCTAATGCTAACTTATGGTTTCTCTTACCTATATACCCCCCTTTACTAGTTTAAGTCCTGTAGCTCAGTGGTTAGAGCACTGGCTTTGCAAGCGAGAGACCTGAGTTCAATCCCCGGCAGGTCAGGGCGAAACCTTGGGCAAGTTTCCTTACTCCACACAGAGCCTAATAATAATCCCTCCAAAACCAAAAACAATAATAAATTGGTCATTTTCAATCTACGACTGTTTGTGGGACATTGCTGTGCCACCTTCGATGATCTCGACTTCAATTTGGACCCCAGCTCTTCGAATTCCCTTCTCAAGTCATCTTGGCCAACTCTACCGATGTCATTGGTACCGATGTGAAGTACCACCAACGGATCCTTACCCTCGTATTTTAAATTACCCTCTCGCCCTGCGGAGACCTCCTTCACCCCGGACCCAGGGGGCAGCAAAGCCTTTGGATCTTCTGGTTGGTGTTGCAGATGATTGTGTTTGTCTGTCTAATAGTCTCAATCCCCTCAATCTCCAATGACGACAACCATCCGCTCGTCTGCCCCAGTGTTAGAGGTAGTTTTTCCTGCCCCCTCACCGGCTTCCTTGTCGATAAAAGTTCCAAGGATCTCATACCTGTTGTTTCAAGGTTAATGCCGGATTTACTACCACTCTTCCCATTGTCCCCCCGACCTCCTGACTGTCCATTGACCTATCCTGACCATCACCAATGTTGACCGTATATTCCCTCAGGGAGTGACTGGCTCCAGGATGTCGCTATACAGGAAGCACTCACTGTCTCTGATAGTCCGCAGTGTCTGCACCTCGGACTCCAGCTCAGCCACTCTGACACTCTGATACTCTGAGCCACTCTGACACTCTGAGCCACTCTGACACTCTGAGCCACTCTGACACTCTGAGCCACTCTGACACTCTGAGCCACTCTGACACTCTGAGCTGGAGCTGCCTCAGTTGCAGACATCTTCTGCAGATGTGGTCTCCTGGGGTCAGACTGCCCTCCGTCCGCTCCCACATGTCACACTCCTCACGTAACACCTGCCACTCCATTGCCACCTCCTCCAACTAGTTAGTCAGTTAGTTAAGTTAATTAAGTCTTAATTTAATCAAGTTGATCCAATTAAGTTGATCAAGTTAAGTTAAATCAATCAAGGTAAGTTTGTCAAGTTAAGTCTGTGGTGTGTGATGTGTTGATAGTGACAGTTGTTAGTGCACTTTTAGTCTGTAGTTAGTGTTGATACTGACGTCGCTCTGAGGTCACTTTTTAATTTTCTCACTTTTTTATCCTCTGTGACCGGCTGCTCCCCACCCCCCCCCCCACACCCCCCTCACCTCACCCCCCAACCCTCAGCCCGCCCCACCCCTCGCCGCACTCCACCCCTCACGTTGCCCCTCACCCCATCCCTCACCTCGCCCCTCGCCTCACCCCTCTCCCCGCCCCTCACCCTGCCCCTCACCCCACCACTCGCCCTCACCCCGCCCCTCACCCCATACCTCGCCCCACACCCCACCCCTCACCTCGCCCCCCGCCCCTCACCCCTCACCTCGCCCCTCACCCCACCCCTCGCTCTCATGCTCTCCTCGCCCCTACCCCGCCCCTCGCCCCGCCCCTCACTCTCATGCTGCTGACCGGCTGACTCTCTGGGATAAACAGCCAGTGCCCTCCGGCAAGGACTGGGGTGACCGGGGAGTGGGGACCACACCACAAGCACCAGCTCGGGTGCGGTTCCTGACTGCCCAGTGCCACGCCGGTTGGTGGGACCTGCTGTGCGCAATTTGCCGCCGCGTTTTGACCACAAAGGTATAGTCAATACACTTTACAGTAAAAAGCTGTGAAGCGCTTTGAGACACATCACAGACCATGATAAACCACTATCATATTTTTACTAAAACACAATCTTGTGGAGGATGGGGAGAAAAACAAAAGCAATCTGAACAAACACAGTGGATCTGGAGCTCAGGCCGTGTACAGAGCAGGAGATGTCCTCTCTCTCCCTCCCTCACCATCCATGATCTCACCATCTATTACTGTGCAACTGAATGAAAGCCACAGGAATGTCTCAACCAGGTTAACACGGTGAGCTGAGCAGTCAGATAGTGACCATATCATTTTATTTTGACCAGTCAGGTGTCTGACACATGTACACTAAGGAAACTTGCCCAACGTTTTGCCCTGCCCGGGAACCGAACCCAGGTCCTCTCGTTCGTGAGGCGAATGCTGTTACTATTTCGCTCCATGAAAGGAAAGACAAGTCCTCCAGGAAAGTGCACCGTGTCCCGGCACTGCTCCACATCTCAACTGTTCCCAAGATTCTCTGCACAGTAAACAGCTTCCTGTTTATTGTCACAAGCTAAACACGGAAACCAAACCAAACAAAAACACTTAGCAAATAGCTCAGTCCTCACAAGTGTTTTGTTTAATTAACTGTAAACAGTCTTAACGTTTCCATTCAAGTATGACAGAGCTACGAGGTGAAGTTGCAAATTCACAGCCTGTCAACAGCACAGATGCCATGGACCCGGCAGCCCTTCTGCAGTGAGACCAGCTTTCATAATAATAATAATTGTTGCATTTGATATAGCGCCTTATCACAGCTTCGTGACGTCTCAAAGCGCTTCACAGAATGTACTGTAAAGTGAATTGACTATATTTTGTGGGAGAAACACAGCAGCCAATTGCGCACAGTAGTGTCCCACAAACAGTTGTGGATTGAGCGACCAGATTTATTATTTTATTTTGAAGGGATTATTACCCCTGGAAAGTGATCCGCCAATCGACTAACAACCGGGTTCCTACTTTCTGCTGGGTAAACAGGGTGGGGGCAGAGAGGAAGAGTAAGGAAACTTGCCCAACATTTTGCCCTGCCCGGGAATCAAACCCAGGTCCTCTCACTTGCGAGCCGAGTGCTCTAACCATTAAGCTATAGGACTCCACTGTAACTTTCCTGAAAGAGTGACGATACAATATTAATTCAAAAGCTGTTCCCACACTGCCTGGATTGAATGCCTGGGCCAGGTATAATAATATATAATAATAATTCTTGCATTTGATATAGCGCTTTTTATGTCTTCTCACGTCTCAAAACGCTTCACAGAATATGCTGTAAAGTGAATTGACTGTATATTTGTGGGCGAACGCGGCAGCCAATTGCGCACAGCAATGTCCCACAAACAGTCGTAGATTGAAAGTGACCAATTTATTATTGTTTTGGGTTTTGGAGGGATTATTATTAGGCTCTGTGTGGAGTAAGGAAACTTGCTCAAGGTTTCGCCCTCTGCCTGGAATTGAACTTGCAAAGCGAGTGCTCTAACCACTAAGCTACAGGACTCCAGGTATAAGCCTAACCCTGCACTCCCAGCCACGTCCACACTCCCCGTGTTTTCACGTTGATTTAAGTTGAAAGCTACATTTTCCCACAACTGCCTGAGTTTGAATTCTCTGTTACATGAGCAGTCGAATGGCCCTGTTTCTGTGTTTTGTATTTGGTTCTAACCATTTGAAAATATAACATGATCAGATTTTGCTGACGTTCCACAGCAGAGCTGCGATGTCGGAGGTGCCGTTTGCCTGTTCAGGTGGATGTTAAAAGTCCCTGTGGCACTATTTGAAAAGGAAGTTTCTCCTGGTGTCTTGGTCAACTATCACCCAAATAAAATTGGTCGCTCACTCGATGGTGGGACACGGCTGTGTGCAAACTGGCTGACACATTTGCCCATAAAACAGCCCCTACTTTACGGTATATCCTGTGAACCACCTTGGGATTTCCTGCTGACATCAAACATTAGGATTATTATTATTTTCTGATACGGTAGAGGTGTGATCTCTGGCTACCAATCACATGATTCCGATCAGCTTCCAGGTTTCCAGCGTTCAGGAAGCACAGAGAGAAAGACAAGGTTTATCTGCAAGCTTCATTCCATGCCTGGCCAAGTGTAGTTTATATTTTATACAGTACCCACATCAACCCGTCAGCTCCATCCGCTCAGCGGGCTCCAGCCTGCTCCATGTCCCCGCCCAACCCACCATCGGCAATCGGGCCTTCGGGCTCTCTGCCCCTACCTTTTTGAACTCCATCCTCCCACATTCCCTTTGCCTCGCTCCCTCCCTCGCCTCCTTCAAGGCATGTCTCAAGACCCTCCTCTTCGACCGCGCATTCAGCCACCCTCCCTCCAGCCTCCCTGATCCCAACCCCCAGCTTGGGTCGAAATCCCTGACTGTCCAGCGCCTTGGGATGTGAAAGGCGCCGTGTAAATGTATTTTGTATTGTATTTTAAGACATCGAGACTTAAAGTTGTTCCAGTTACTGCATCATTTATGTTCAAATCCCTCCATGGCCTGTCATGGCATGAGTCCTGTGACCTGCTGCACCCTACACCTTGGCCGTGTGTCCTCTCAGTAAACTGCATCATCTCCCCGACCTGCTCAATCAGCTTCACAAGCTCTCAGTCATTCTGCCCCCACTCCCCTCCCTTCCCACCTTTAAAGCCTACCTTGAGATGAGACCTTTCTTTTCGCCTACAAAATACACAGTCACTACACTTTGCAGTATATTCTGTGAAGCGCTTTGTGATGTTTCAAAGACATGATAAGGCACTATATCAAATGCAAGGATTATTATTATTATTTTGATGGCACTTTTGGTCATCTTTCCTCCAAAATTTCCTCAGCCCACTCCCGCCCCAGTCGGCTCTGTGAAACGCTTTGAGATGTCTTCCCAATTTGTGGAAGACACTGTGTAAATGTAAATTGTTGTTAGTGGTCTCAGACCATTACTTCATCGACACTACATTTCTGTGACCCACGAGTTACAATGACAGTGTGTTACAGCCAAAATGCAGTAAAACTCATACAAGCCTGATCTGTATAAATCGTATAATCCCGAGTTGTACATTTGCCCAAGTCCCGTTCAAGAGTTTATATTCTTTGCAAGTTTGACACAATTCATACTTTTCAGAAGTCATATTAAGTGTATGGTCCCAACTGACATGACTTATAATAATAATCCTTGCATTTGATATAGCGCTTTATCACGTCTTAAGAGACATCTCAAAGCATTTCACAGAATATACTGTAAAGTGTATACTTTGTGGGCAAAATGTGGCAGCCAACTGTGTACAGCAGCATGCCACAAACTGTCGTGGATTGAATGACCAGGTTATTATTATTTTTGTTGTTGAAGGGATTATGTAAGGTTTATTGTATCTGCACTGAAGGAGCAGATTCATTCCTGCAGATTCTCTATTCAACATCTGTCCTTGTCTGCGCACAGCTCATTCCAAGATGTTTGGATAAAGTTCACACCTGTAATATTGTGCAAAATGAAAGCCACCAGAAACTGGAAACCTGGCTTAAGCTCAGTACTTACTCTCTCTCGTAGCTTCTCTTTGAGGATCAGGCTTAGAACGGAATAGGGGAAGCGGAACCAGACCGGTGCACCCACAATGAAGACTTTTTTCAAACGAGCAGGAAAGGCTCCCTGAAAACAGAGAGTAACAGTAAGTTTACAGTATATCCTGTGAAGCATTAACAAAAATTAACATTAACAGACAAACATACCACACACAGTGTTCTCGAACAGAGCCAGAAACACAAACCTTACACTAACAATCGGGGCAAGTACAACTGGCTCAAAAACAGCTCATTAGCTCCACCAATGGTTTGAGGGAGATTATTTAGTTCAGTAGCTGAGTTACATACACCAGAAAGTGTGTGTCAGGCTGGCTCAGTCCACAGCACACTCGCCTAGAAGGTTGTGGATTCAGGCCCCATGTTGAGACATGGAGCTCATCTAGGCTGGTGCAGAGCTGGGGGTTTACTGCATTGTTTCACAGGAGATGAACTGTTATTGATCAGAGACAGACAGAGACAGAGAGAGAGAGCACCATTTGATCACTGACACATCCTCTCTAGGAACAGGGTGACAGAGCAGAACAGCCAGTATCTGTTTGTGAAGAGCATTGACCAGCAGGGATGGGTTTATACAGGACCAGCTGTACCCGTTGCAGCTTCGCTTTGCAACCAAAGGATCCAATATAGAATGTAGGTTGACCCACTGACAGACATTTCATCTTTATCTACACTCAGTTGGGAGGATTCAGTTGGAGGACTCCTCTAATATATTTTCTTTCAGTCTCTCTCTCTCAGTCTGTGTGTATGTATCTCTCTCTCTGTCTCTCTATCTCAGTTTCTCTCACTATCTCAGTTTCTCTCTCTCAGTCTCTCTTAACTATCTCAGTCTCTCTCACTCTCAGTCTCTCTTCCTCTCAGTCTCTCTCTCTCAGTGTCTCACTAACTCCATCTCCTAGACAGAATTTAAATTTCAAACCTCGTTTCCAGCTCTCAAAAATATAATAATAATAATCCTTGCATTTAATTCTGCGCCTCATCACGTCTTCGAGACGTCTCAAAGTGCTTCAGAGAATAAACTGTAAAGTGAATTGACTGTACATTTTGTGGCGAAACGCAACCATAACAATTTTTATTTTCTGAGTGATTCAGAGGGGGTAGAATCTGATGGGGGTAGAGTCAGAACTTTGAAGCTGGTTTCTGTGGTCGTCCTTAAAAGAAGCTTCAATATTCAACTTTGAGAAGTTTCCAAATTCTGGACCCTCAGAATTACTAATTAAAGAGTCAATTCAGACTTGGGGGGAATCTCTACCCCCAGCTCTGTCAATGGAGGCTGGTCCTTGTTTGCACTCAGAATTGGCCATTCTGCATACATAAATATATCTGCTCATTGACACTGATGCTCAACAAGACTGTGTCCACTGAACCTTTCAGTCACTCCTCCCAGCCCAAGGATAAGTAAAACACGGCTCCACATTTTGTGAACAACAACTACAACAAACAACAAATTACATTTACAAGCGCCTTTCACGTCAGGAGGATGTCCCAAGGCGCTGGACTGTCAGAGTGTTGGCCCAGAGTTGGGGGTTGGGATCAGGGGGGGTTGGAGAGCAGAGATAGGAGGGTGGCTGAAGGCGGTCGAAGAGGAGGATTTTGAGACGGGCCTTGAAGGAGGCGAGGGAGGGAGCGAGGCAAAGGAACTGGGAGATGGAGTTCCAAAGGGAAGGGGGGAAAACGCCTGTGTGGGACTTTCATTTCTGGTATCCAATATGTTTATGATTTTAAATAGGAAAATTCATCTGTAAACCTCGACTTAGAGCTGAGAGGGGTTCAAGGAGTTAGGTTCCAATACCTTGCTGCACATAGGCATTCGTCATTCACCCGTCTTCAGTGACTTACCTTCAGCAAGTGGAGGATTTTCTTACTGAGATCATATTCAAAGTTGGTGTAGGCAGATCCTGCCATGTCATAAATGAACACCAGCCCATTGCGTTGAGTTTCAAAGCTGAGTAATAAGATGGACACTCGCTCGTATTAAAAACTGGTTAACAAGAGGCTCAGATACAACAACAACTTGCATTGAAATGGTGCTGCTCACACAGGATAGCATCCCAGAGCGCCGACCGGTGTCTAAACTGCAGTTCTGGTGTTCCAGTTGATGTACAGACAACCAGGGGGCAGAGGAGGGAGGTTTTTTTTAGCTTCAACGTTTCTACAAGTTGCAGATAAAATTATCAATTCCAAATATTCGTCCCACCTGAACGTTATTTACCACTGCTAGTCATCAAATACCAACTCAAATCTAAACCGATATGTTTTAAAAACCTACATCTTGTAATATAGTTCCTTTCACAATCCTTTCAGTAAACTATTCCGTGAGGGAGAATAGTGAAATGCACTTCCTGAAAGGGGGATCGAAGCAGATTTGATAGATGCTTTCGAAAGGGAATTGGATAGGCAACAGGAAAAATGTGCAGGGCTACAGGGTAAGAGCGAGGGAGTGGGACTTGTTGGCAGCTCTTCCAAAAAGCCGACACACTGTGCTGTAATACTCCATGATTCTGTGTGGTTGAAGCAGTGAGTGATATGAACCAGGAACTACTGCCTACAAATTAATAATAATAATAATAATCCTTGCATTTGATATAGCGCTTTTCACGTCAGGAGGACGTCCCAAAGCGCTTCACAGAACACACTGTAAAGTGAATTGACTGTATATTTGTGGGCGAACGCGGCAGCCAATTGCGCACAGCAATGTCCCACAAACAGTCGTAGATTGAAAATGACCAATTTATTATTGTTTTTGGTTTTTGGAGGGATTATTATTAGGCTCTGTGTGGAGTAAGGAAACTTGCCCAAGGTTTGGCCCTCTGCCTGGAAATAAACTCAGGTCTCTCACTTGCAAAGCGAGTGCTCTAACCACTGAGCTACAGGACTCCATGGGACGGGTGGTGGTTCTGGAAGGGTGAGATCAGATGGGTCAAAGGACCTTCTTTACCCAAATCAATCGTAGGATTGTGTGACCTATATTAGGTATAAATTAAATATTGCAATGAAATAAACCTCAGTACCACCCAACCCCAGAATCAATTGAAATATGTCACTGAAACAGCTGTTAGGTAACAAATCCTGGATACAATGAATTCTGGCTGAGTTGAGCAGTAAAGGTACAAGCAAATGTGCCCCTTCTGTGTTAAAGCTGTCAACAATAGATCAGTCTATTCCACACCATAAACTGGGCCAGTTGTCACAAAGGCACACCCTTAGACCTGGAGCCAGGGCTGGCTCACACATCACAGCCAGCTTTAGCTTTAGCATCCAGATTTAGGATTAGTTTTACGGCTCTCTGAATCAGTCAGACCTTGAGTGAGTTTCCTGCACTTTGTGGCCAGATCTAGATGTATGATTTACAAGGATAAGGAGGATGGAGAGAAGAGATCCTGGCAGTGACACCAGCAACTGGGCAGCCTGACAGGCATCTCAATCTGCCACATCAGCTTCACAGAAACCCTGTAACACGGCAGATAGCATTCTTGGCTTTGTGTCTGCTGTTTCAAAGTGGTTTGTGTGTCAGCCTGGCTCAGTGTGTGTCAACCAGCTCAGTGTGCGCGTGTGCCAACCAGCTCAGTGTGTGCGTGTGTCAACCAGCTCAGTGTGTGCGTGTGTCAACCAGCTCAGTGTATACGTGTGTCAGCCTGGCTCAGTGCAGGTCAACCAGCTCAGTGTGTGCGTGTGTCAACCAGCTCAGTGTGTGCGTGTGTCAACCAGCTCAGTGTGTGCGTGTGTCAACCAGCTCAGTGTATACGTGTGTCAGCCTGGCTCAGTGCAGGTCAACCAGCTCAGTGTGTGCGTGTGTCAACCAGCTCAGTGTGTGCGTGTGTCAGCCTGGCTCAGAGTGTGCATGTGTGTATATCAGCCTGGTTCAGCGTGTGTGTCAGCCCGGCTCAGTGTATGCGTGTCAGCCCAGCTCAGTGTGTGTGCATCAGCCCGGCTCAGTGTGTGTCAGCCCGGCTCAGTGTGTGTGTGTCAGCCCGGCTCAGTGTGTGTGTGCATGTGTGTGTGTTTGTGTGTGTGTGTGTCAGCCCGGCTCAGTGTGCGTGTGTGTCAGCCCGGCTCAGTGTGTGTGTGCGTGTGTGTCAGCCCGGCTCAGTGTGCGTGTGTGTCAGCCCGGCTCAGTGTGTGTGTGTGTGTGTGTCAGCCCGGCTCAGTGTGTGTGTGTGTGTGTGTGTGTGTGTGTGAGCCCGGCTCAGTGTGTGTGTGTGTGTGTGTGTCAGCCTGGCTCAGTGTGTGTGTGCGTGTGTGTGTGTGTCAGTCCGGCTCAGTGTGTGGGTGTGTGTGTGTGTGTGTGTGTGTCAGCCCGGCTCAGTGTGTGTGTGTCAGCCCGGCTCAGTGTGTGTGTGTCAGCCCGGCTCAGTGTGTTTGTGTCAGCCCGGCTCAGTGTGTGTGTGCGTGTGTCAGCCCGGCTCAGTGCGCGTGTGCGTGTGTCAGCCCGGCTCAGTGTGTGTGTGAGTGTGTGTGTGTGTGTCAGCCCAGCTCAGTGTATGCGTGTGTCAGCCTGGCTCAGTGCGTGTCAACCAGCTCAGTGTGTGCGTGTGTCAACCAGCTCAGTGTGTGCGTGTGTCAACCAACTCAGTGTGTGCGTGTGTGTATATCAGCCTGGTTCAGTGTGCGTGTCAGCCCGGTTCAGTGTGTGTCTGCCGGCTCAGTGTGTGTGTGTCAGCCCGGCTCAGTGTGTGTGTGTCAGCCCGGCTCACTGTGTGTGTGTGTGTGTGTGTGTCAGCCCGGCACAGTGTGTGTGTGTGTGTGTCAGCCCGGCTCAGTTTGTGTGTGCCTGTGTGTGTGTGTCAGCCCGGCTCAGCGTGTGTGTGCATGTGTGTGTGTGTCAGCCTGGCTCAGTGTGTGTGTGCATGTGTGTGTGTGTCAGCCCGGCTCAGTGTGTGTGTGCATGTGTGTGTGTGTCAGCCTGGCTCAGTGTGTGTGTGCATGTGTGTGTGTGTCAGCCCGGCTCAGTGTGTGTGTGCATGTGTGTGTGTGTCAGCCTGGCTCAGTGTGTGTGTGCATGTGTGTGTGTGTCAGCCTGGCTCAGTGTGTGTGTGCGTGTGTGTGTGTGTCAGCCTGGCTCAGTGTGTGTGTGCGTGTGTGTGTGTGTCAGCCCGGCTGCAGCCCATCGCGTGGAGGGATTTTGGCACAAGAATTTTATCTGATGAGTATTTCTTTTTTAAAGATTTGATGTAGTGCTTTTCATGTCCAGACAACATCTCAAAGTGTTTCACAGGAGGTCAGGACCACCCACCTTGTAATACATTTTCCAAGGTTTCAAATTAAAGCAACCACCCACACAATATAGATTGTGCTTGTGTGCTTAAAATTTTGCAAGCTGGAAATTTAGGCTTATCTAATCGGACTGAATCTATAAAATGTATGGTTATAAACCAGAGTTCTCATGTACAAGGTGGATTACAAAGGCTGGAGTGCTGCTTGTTTGCACATTGGATATCATGTTGAGTGCTTTAAATAGATAAACGAGAGCTCCTGAGACGCCCTCGTACCTGGAAGCTTCAGAATGACCCACGACGCTACTTACAATACAATTTTACACAGCCCCTTTCAGGTTGGGAGGACGTCCCAAGGCGCTGAGCATTCAGGGATTTGGACCCGAGCCGGGGATTGGGATCAGGAGGGGTGGAGGGCAGTGGTAGTAGTGCAGCCAAAGGCGCGGTCAAAGAGGAGAGTCTTGAAGGAGGCGAGGGATAGAGTTTCAAAGGGTGGGGGCTTACCTTTCGATGGCTTGATCCAGCAGGTAAAACAGTGCCTGCAGGACTACGTGCTGTAAGGTCTTATTGGGCTGGTGTAACTTGGCAGTGAAAAGGGCGATGGAAGCTCCTGAACGATCCCGAACACTCTGGGGGGGGGGGGGGGGGGGGGGGGGGGGGGGGGGGGGGGGGGGGGGGGGGGGGGGGGGGGGGGGGGGGGGGGGGGGGGGGGGGGGGGGGGGGGGGGGGTGGAGAGAGTGGGGGAGGGGAAGGGGGGGGGGGAGGGGAGAGAGAGAAAAATGAGTGTCTTTTCTGCTGGCCGAAATTTCACAAAGTGAAAAGATCTCTTTCCTTGCTCTGTCCTTACTGACCAAGCGATTTACTGCAAAGTAGCTTGACATTGGCTAAACAAGCACAGCAAGTGTCACGTGGCAGTTCAAAAATCCTGTGGGACATGAACGGATGGTGTCCACTGTTGGGAGATCCTGTAAGACTGAGCCAGGGGGTTGGCTGTGTCAGTGTCGAGAGTGTGAGCCCCCCCCCCCACCACACCCCCCCCATTCCTGTACAGCACTCGTCAATCCCTGAACTGAGGAGGACCAGTCCCTCAGCTGACAATATACTGCTGACTCTCTTCCCCTCTCCCGGCTGAGACACTAAGATCTCCACACTTTATTCTCAGTTATGTTATATCTCCCTGAGGAGCCACATCAGGCACTTTGCCAGGGGAGGAAGGAGATGGGATGGACGGACAGTCATGTGCAGGCCACATTGCTGATTTCTGAGAGGTTTGGAGTTTTCCTGAAGTCCTGTTAGATAGAGTCAGGCTCTTTCTCTCTTGTGCCCATGGGACATGGCCATCCTCCCAGACGGATGGGTACGAGAGAGAGGACTGTAACAGGAGTCCAAGAAAGGATCAACCATCAATCAGGTGAAGTCACGTGTTGCTATAAATCACCCGGAGGCAGATTAAAAGTCCACAAAAACAACAGTGCAGCTAAACCCAGGGGTAACTCTCAACCGGAAATGCTGCAATCTATTCAAAGCAGCCGGTATAAATCAGGTCACCGGCCTCTCGGGGTTAGAACACAAGATTTCCCTATTCTAGAAATAATCCTCTGTTATCAGCCCATCACAGAGCTGCTAAAGATATCAGGGCATTGGCAGATTGCCCCCTGTTATATGTTATAAGGATTGCCGTGAAGCCATAGTTGTAAGGTCATCCCTTGGATCAGTTCCTCCAACAGATACATTCATGTGGTGGTTTGGTTGGTTGGAGCACAAGTTCCACTGCCTTGCTAAAGGATAATAATAATAATAATAATCCTTGCATTTTTTTGTAGCACCTGATCACGTCTTTGAGACGTCTCAAAGCGCTTCACAGAATATACTGTGAAGAATATTCACAGAATGTACTCTATATTTTGTGGGCAAAACCCAGCAGCCAATTCCACACAGCAGCGTCCCACAAACAGTCAGGGATTGAGTGACCTAATTATTATTTGAAGGGATTATTACTCCCGGAAAAGTGATACGCCAATTGACTAACAACCGGGTTCCCACTTACTGCTGGGTAAACAGAGGCGTGTGGAGTAAGAAAACTTACCAAACATTTCGTCCTGCCCGGGAATCGAACCCAAGTCCTTTTGTTTGCGAGGCGAGCGCTCTAACCACTGAGTTGGTGAGTTGTAGTGTGCAACCATGTGGCCAGAGCCTGAGGCGCTGAAGCGCTTTAACATTAACTTTAGCAACTTCTGACTTTCCTTAATTTCTGTTAATTTTTTTATTATAGTTTAAGCACAGAGTCTGAGCAGAGTGGGCTATTTACTGTCTCTGAGGCAACCATCATCAATTATAGCCAGGTTTGAGATTGCTGAAGAAACTGTCCAGCCTCTGTTGTGCCATCTAACCCAAGGCTGTTTATAACCAAAGTAACCAGGGCGGTAACCAGGGGGGTAACCAGGGGGGGTAACCAGGGGGGGTAACCAGGGGGGTAACCAGGGCGGTAACCAGGGGGGTAACCAGGGGGGTAACCAGGGCGGTAACCAGGGGGGGTAACCAGGGGGGTAACCAGGGGGGTATCCAAGCTTACCAGAATGGTAAATTTGCCACTCAGCAGTTCCGATCGGAGAGGCTCCTCGTGTGGCTTCAACTCCACAATCCCTTCTTTCAACTTTGTTTCCTGAAACACAGACAGAAATAAACAACATTTAGAACTTCACCAAAACACACACCGGAACCCACAGAAATGTTCTCTCTCCACGTCGATTCATTACAATCAGCTGCTAACACTCTCACCTCCATGTCAGAAAGTTGTGGGTTCAAGCCCCATATCAGGATTTTTAAACTCAGTCTCTCTAATGGGCATTGCCAGAGGTGCCGTCCTTCAGATGAGACGTTAAACCCAGGTCCCATCTCCCTGTTCTGTGGATGTTAAAGATCCTGCGGCAAAATTCAAAAAGAGAAGGGAGTTTCTCCCTCTTTCCCTGTGTCCTTGGCAACAATCTCACAGATAAAACAGGTCACTCAGTCCGTGGCTGTTTGTGGGACATCGCTGTGTATGTTCATGTACAAAACTACAGAGTCACTAAACTTTACAGCAAATCCTGTGAAGGGCTTTGAGATGTCCTCTGACAGGAAAGCCAGTGTACCCAATGCAAGGAGTATTATTATTACATGACCTGCTTATTACATAACACATTTAGTACACAACAAAGTCATGGGAAATCTTAGTGCATTGTGAGCATATACAACCCCCCCACCCACACACACCCCCACCCACACCCCCCCCACCACCCACACACCCCCCACCCACACGCAAGCCCCCCACCCACACCCCCCCACCCACACCCCCCCCACCCACACGCAACCCCCCCACCCACACACACGCCCCCACCCACACGCCCACCCCCCACCCACACACATACACACACACCCCCACCGCACTGGATTAGTGGAGATTAACATAATAGAAAATTGGGTTAGAGAAGTACAGAGTACAGAGTCCATCGGTCTGTCATTCACCACCATCAACCCACAGTTTAAGTAGCCGGCCATGAGCGCGCTGCAGGGGAACAGTGAGAACCTGACACTCAAAACCAGAGGAATTAACACCTCGTTAAAGATTCACAATTTTAACTCTTTCCCACCATTAAGCTCCAGCTCATCCAACGCAAGAGCCAGTGCTCAGCAGTTGCTCTGCGTTACCAACGCCCACTGTTTACGTAAGGATATAAACTGGACATTTTACCTCCCGCTGATTAACTGGTGATCAAATATTTACTTACTGAGGCTTTAATTCTTCAGGGGCCACAAAGATTAAACTGAGCACAATAGCGGCCAGGCACACACCAAATAATACAATTTACATTTATACAGTGCCTTTGTGTCGGGAGGACATCTTATAGAACTTTACAGTGCTGGCTGGGCACCTAAGTTTGAGGTGGGAGCTGAGGGAGGAGAAACAGGCACGTTTTGAGAGGTGCCTTGAACAAGTGGAGGGAGGATAACCATTAGAGTGGAGTCCTGTAGCTCAGTGGTTAGAGCACTCCTCTCGCAAGCGAGAGACCTGGGTTTGATTCCAGGGCAGGGCAAAACGTTGGGCAAGTTTCCTTACTGCACATGCCTCTGTTTACCAGCAGAAGTAGGAACCCAGCTGTTACTCAATTGGTGGATTGATTTGCCGGGGGTAATAATCCCTCCAAAAAAATAATGATAATTTGGTCACTCAATCAACGACTGTTTGTCGGACACTGCTGTGCTCGTTTCGCCCACAAAATATACAATTAATTCACTTTACAGCATATTCTGTGAAGAGCTTTGAGACGTCTCGAAGGTGTGATAACAACAAGAACAACAATAACAACAAGATTCCATTTATAGAGCGCCTTTCACGTCGGGAGGACGTCCCAAGGCGCTGTACAGTTGGGTCAGGACCCGAGCATTGGGGAAATGGTCAGGGTGAGGGGAGGGAAGGGAGGGAGCGAGGAGGGGGGAAATGGTCAGGGTGAGGGGGGGGCAAGGGAGGGAGCGAGGAGGGGGTAGAGAGCCGAGAGGGGAGCTGAAGGCTGAAGGTCAAAGAGAAAGGTCTTGAGACCGGCCTTGAAGGAGGAAAGGGAGGAAGCGGCGAAGGCACCGGGGGATGGAGTTCCAGAGCCTCGGGGCTGAAGGCCCGGCCACCGATGGTAGGGCGGTTGGGGCGGGGGATGTGGAGCAGACCAGAGCCAGAGGAACGGAGGGTACGAGCAGGTAGGTAGGGGGATAAGGCGCCATATCAAACGCAAGGATTATTATACACGCTTAAATAAAACAAAACAAAAAGAAATTAAAAATATATTTTGTATAATAAATCTTTATTCCTTCTCTCTATCATTGGAAGTATTTCAGTCTCCAAGTCAGTTGAACCCTTGTGTGACTCTTTTTGGAGTACTCAATTACAGACAGGTAACCAGGGCACATAGATTTAAGATAATTGGCAAAAGAACCAGAGGGGAGACGAGGAGAAATATTTTTACTCAAAGCGTTGTTGTGGTCTGGAATGCTCTGCCTGAAAGGCTGGAAACAGACTGAATAATAGCTTTCAAAAGGGAATTAGAGAAGTACTTGACGAGGAAATATTTGCAAGGATATGGGGAAAGAGCAGGGGAGTGGGACTGGTTCCAAAGAGCCGGCACAGGCACGATGGGCTGAATGACCTCCTTCTCTCCTGTAATATTCTATGATTCTAAGATTTTAACAGAACGGGAGAGGAAATGACAGAGCCCTGAAGGAGATATCTGTCCTTTAAAACGCTGTAGTCCCAACCCATCAGCCAAGACTTACCCGGTAAGAGTGGAAGAGTTCAATAGCTCGGTGTACATCAAATTTTCTGGCCATTAGAAACTTGACTCCGGCATTCCATGATAGAGGAGACATTCCATTCTGTGCTGTCCACTTGTTGATCTCCTCTAGGAACTGCTTGGTGGCCTGTAGACACAAAGAAACAGGGTCATATCACCAGGCAGAGGAAACTGGTGGTACCCAACTCGACACCAATCAGCAATACATCCTTTCTGCCTATTGAATGGATTTCTTCATTTACATTTGAAACGCCACAAGCCCTTTCAAACAGCAAAATAAAATGTACACCAAAAGGTAAAACACTGCAGACGATTCAAATCTGAAATAAAAACAGAAGTCACTGGGAACACTCTGCGGGTCAGGCAGCATCTATGGAGAGAGGAAAGTGAATCAACGTTTCAGGTCAATGACCAAAGTTCACTTTTCTCTCTCCATAGATGCTGCCTGACCCGCTGAGTGTTCCCAGGGACGTCTGTTTCTATTTAAAATGTCCACCATGTTGCCGCTGTGTTTGGGTTGGGGGGAGGGCACAAGACTCTGGAGAGTCACAAGCTGGTGCCAGCAATCTCAGACCTCTGTTGGCTGCAACAACTTGTATTGTTATATAGACCATTTTTATATAGCGCCCTTCACACAGGGTAGCACAGGACCTGCTGCCCTTCCCTTTGGCAGGTTACCAACACCACTGCTGAGGTGAAAAGGCAAACTGCCTCCTACATTACATGTCTGTAGTGTAGAAAGAAATTGATAGTAATAATCCTGGCATTTGATACAGCGCCTCATCACGTCTTTGAGACGTCTCAAAGCGCTTCACAGAATATACTGTAAAGTGAATTGACTGTATATTTTGTGGGCGAAACATGGCAGCCAATTGCGTACAGCAGCGTCCCACAAACAGTCGTGGATTGAAGTGACCAAATTATTATTATTATTTATTTGGAAGGGATTATTACCTCCAGAAAAGTGATTTGCCAATTGACGAGTAACTGGGTTCCTACTTACTGCTGATAAACAGAGGTGTAGAGAGTAAGGAAACTTGCCAGTTTCGCCCTGCCCAGGAATCAAACCCAGGTCCTCTCACTTCCGAGGCAAGTGCTCTAACCACTGAGCTATAGTACTTCTGCTTGATTTGCTCTTTGAAAAATCATCCAAGCTCTCATCAATATGGGTCTGTACAGCACAAGTTGTACGTAGATCCTGCACAATACCTGAAGACAAAAACAGACGCTATCTTCTATGGGAATGGAGGTATGGGAGTAGAAAGCGCCAACTATCCCACACAGAAAAATCCTTACATTTCATTACAGTGTTGTTCATGTCAAGAGGATCTCTCAAAGCGCTTCACAACATTTAGTGTAAAGTGGAGTGACTATATTTTGCGGGCAAATTCAGCAGCCAATGTCCCCCAAACAGCCATGAAGTTAATGTCTAACTTTGTTAATTTGGGGCTAGTTGACCAAGTCACCGGAAGAAACTCCCTACTTTTTTCAAATTGTGCCATGGGATCTTTAACCCACAAAATACACAGTCACTACACTTTAGTGTATTCTGTGAATCGCTTTGAGACGTCTCGAAGACGTGATAAGCAAATGCAAGTATTTTATCCACATGTATGTACAGTTTTTCAGGTTAAGTTGATGGTAAATCTCATGGCAGAGATCTATAAACCAGAAGCAACATCTGCACTTAGTTTCATCAGAAAACAAATCCTTCACAACAACAATTTTACATTTATACGGCTCCTTTCCCATTGGGAGGACGTGTCAGAACACTGACAAGCTGCAGTGGGGGGGAGAGCACGAAAGGTGACCAAAAGTATTGTCAGGGTCCTCAGAAGAAGAGACAAACTGAAGAATGGAGGGAAGGCTACGGTCACGGCAGGATGATCAGCGAGGCAGTCACACAAGCTGAAACGCCAGACACCAAACAATAGGGCAAAGTCTGTAACAGCGACCCGCTCAGGAGCGAGCCTCTCACAGCTAGTTCACAGCACATATAACAAAGAGAGCCTGTGAGCAGGTAAACTGGCGTATTTTTCATGAGGAAACCTGCGTTCTCAAAGATCTTGGGACTTCATTCTCGTGTAGATTTTCCCTTTAACCCACACATGGAGTTCTCCTTATTGAGTAGAGAATGTGTGTATGGGGGAGGAGGAAGGGTTGAATGTACTTATTTTAATAGTTCCCCTCCTGATTAGCAAACACTATGTTAATGGCCTTCAGTTTGGCATTGCATAGAGGTCGTACAATCTAGTCACGCCAGCAAGCCCTGCATTTGCATTCTGGAGTCCTGTAACATAGTGGTTAGAGCATTCGCCTCGCAAGTGAGAGGACCTGGGTTTGATTCCCGGACCGGGTGAAACCATAAGCAAGTTTCCTTACTCCACACATCTCTGTTTACCCAGCAGTAAGTAGGAATCCGGTTGTCAGTCGATTGGCAATTGCTTTGTGATGGTCACCAGGCACCAACATGATCAGTTCCCTACTAACGTCAAAAGTCCCGGATGTGAGTGTTGATGGTATCAGCGCCTCCTCACCTCAGGCGCTGACAGCATCTCCCTCCATGGATCCACTCTACATCTCACAGAGCCAATACGGAACCTCTGTGTTCTGTTCAACCTTCAACTGTCCTTCATTCCCCACGCCCGTGCCATGACCCGTTCTGCCTTCCCCCACCTCCGCAACACTGCCCAGCTCTGCCACTATCTCACACCGCAGGTTACCGAGACCCTCATACACACATTCACCACATCCAGGCTCGACTACATAAACTCCCTGCTTGTCGGCCTCCCCAACTCCTCCCTCCACAGGCTGCAGATCATCCTGAACTCTGCAGCCCGTGTCCTCTCCCCCACCAGCCTCCGTGACCCTATCACCCCCCATCCTCGCCCGACTCCACTGGCTTCGGGTGCGAATCCCTGACTGTCCAGTGCCTTGGGACGTCCTCCTGACGTGAAAGGCGCTTTACAAATGTAATTGTTATCAATAAAATGTGATCCATAATGTGTCTCAACTTCCCTTCAGCCTCTTAAGGTAGCGACCGACTATAACCTTCAGGCCTCACCAGCTGTGAATGGGAGGAGGAATGGTCCTCAGGACATCTGCTGGATTAGCTCACTGAACAGACTCTGCATCGCTTCACTATTTACTGTAATTAGGGAGTGGCCAAGAACACAAGGACTGTGTCCCTCCCACAGCAAAACACTGCAACCACATTCAACATTACCAGGGATGAGGGACTTTAGTTCTGTGGTAAGACTAGAGAAGCTGGGATTGTTCTCCTCAGAGCAACAACAACAACATTGCATCTATAGAGCGTCTTTCACGTCGGGAGGACGTCCCAAGGCGCTGGACAGGTGGGTCGGGACCCGAGCATTGGGGGGAAATGGTCAGGGTGAGGGGAGGGAAGGGAGGGAGCGAGGAGGGGGTAGAGTCGAGAGGGGAGCTGAAGGCTGAAGGTCAAAGAGAAAGGTCTTGAGACCGGCCTTGAAGGAGGAAAGGGAGGAAGCGGCGAAGGCACTGGGGGATGGAGTTCCAGAGCCTCGGGGCTGAAGGCCCAGCCACCGATGGTAGGGCGGTTGGGGCGGGGGATGTGGAGCAGACCGAAGCCAGAGGAACAGAGGGTACGGGCAGGTACGTGGGGGATAGTAGATCGGAGAGGTAGGAGGGAGCGAGGCCGTGAATGGCCTTGTAGGTGAGGATGAGGATCTTGAATTCGATCCTCTGGGGGATGGGGAGCCAGTGGAGGTGAGCGAGGGTGAGGGTGAGGGTGAGGGCGAGGGCGAGGGTGAGGACGAGGGTGAGGGTGGGAGTGATGTGGGCGCGGTGTCTGGTGCGGGACAGTACACGAGCTGCAGAGTTCTGAATGACCTGCAGTGTGGAGGGAGGGCCGGGAAGGCCGACGAAGAGAGAGTTCCCATAGTCCAGCCTTGAGGTGATAAAGGCGTGGACCAGAGTTTCAGCCGCGTGAGGGGTGAGGTAGTGCCGTAGTCTGGCGATGTTCTGGAGGTGGTGGAAGGTTAAGGGGAGATTTAATAAGATAAGAGTAGATCAGGAGAAATTATATCCACTGGTGGGTGGGCAACCAGTGGACATAGATTTAAGATAATTGACAAAAATACCGGAGGGGAGATGAGGAGAAACTTTTCTTAACCCAGAGAGTTGTCACGGTCTGGAATGCGCTGCCTGAAAAGGTGGAAACAGATTCAATAACAACTTTCAAAAGGGAATTGGAGAGGAACTTGGAAGAGGAAAAACTTGCAGGGATATAGGGGCAGAGCGGGGGATTGTGACTGATTGGGTCGCTCTTCCAAACAGCCGGAACAGGCACGATGGACCGAATGGCTTCCTTCTGCGCTGTAATATTCTATGATACTATAAACAAATTGGTGCAGAAATGGCATGGATTTTCCCACTGACCTGCGCCTAATAAGGCTATTTATTCTGCACTAATACTTTCAAAGTACTTCATCAGAACACTATCCCAAAAATCCTGCTTCACCTGGAAAATTCCACACTCCAGGATATTTTCATTGGCTAGGAACAATAAGATAGGGAGCCAGAAGGAAACTATTTCACAAATGCAGTGTGTGTTTTCAGGCTGAGGAGATGTTTTCAAGGAGGTCTCCGCACAAGTTTCATATGGCAAAACCAGTTTTTGACTTTAGCAATCTGACATCAAAAATAATCCTTAGAACACTAATCCTTGAATTTCATACAGCACTTTGTCAAGTCATTGAAACATCTCAAAGCACTTCACAGAATATACTGTAAAGTGAACTGACTGTATATTTTGTAGGCAAAACACGGCAGCCAATTGCGCACAGCAGAGTCCCACAAGTAGTCGTGGATTGAGCGACCAATCTCTTTTTTTAAAGAGATTATTACCTCGGAAAAACAATCCGATATTTAACTAACAACAACAACAAAATTACATTTGCATAGAGCCTGAACAATCAGTGTTTTGGACTGAGTTCCTCGCTGCTGCTAAGCAAACAGAGGCACGTGGAGTAAGGAAACTTGCCTAACATTTCACTCTGCCCGGGAATCGAACCCCGGTCCTCTCACTTGCGAGCCGAGTGCTCTAACCACTGAGCTACAGTACAAGTAGGTGTCAATCACCTCGGA